ACTCGGGCGAGTTCTTGAAGAGGCTCAAGTGGCCGGGCACGTCCATGGCCAGGGCGCCCTCCTCCTCGCCGCCACCGCCGCCTGCTCCGCCGCCCTCCTCGGACTCGGCGGCCTCGACGATCTTGCAGGCGCCCAGGGCCACCGGCCGCAGGGCCGCGCCGGGCAGGGCGAACATGCAGTCACCGCGCGGGGCGCTCAGCTCGCTCCCGCCGGAGCCCGGCGCCTCCAGCGCTTCCACGGCCAGCCCCATGGAGGCCGAGACGGCCTTGCACAGCTCCTTGGCGCTCTCGCCCAGGTAGTCCTCCTTGGTCGGCGGCGCCGTCGTGGCTTCCCCCGCTCGCCCGTCGCTCTTCGACGGCGCCGACGGAGCGTGCGGCGGTGGCGGCGGCAGAAGGCTGCTCTCGGCCAGCAGATCCTTGAAGTCGCCCGAGCAGCTGTGGAAAGACGGGCCCAGCAGCACCATCGAGGCCGGGGCGGACGGCGCCGAGGAGACCGACGGCGCGGACGGGCCTGGAGGCTCGCCCTCGTCCGGGCGCTGCTGCGGCTGTAGCGCTTTGCTGGCCGGCGGCTGCGCTTCCAAGGGCAGGAAGGAAGGGGAGGCGGACGGCGCAGGATGGTGCTGGTGGGGCCTCCGCGGGCTGAGCTCTTGCAGGCGGGCGCCCGGTTGGGGCGGGGCAGAAGAGGAGCCCGAGGCGGCGGCGGCGACCGGGTGGCTACTCGGGCCGGGCTCCTCGCGCGCTGTCCCGGGACTCTGAAAGGCCTCGCGGACGCTCTGGAAGAGGCTTTGGAAAGCGCCCCGGAAAGTCTTGCCCGGCGGCCGGGCATACACGCGCCCGAGCCCGACGTGCACCTCCATGGCTGGGCAGCGCGATCTGGGGCCGGAAAGGATCAGTCCCGGGTCGCAGTCTCTCGATCTGTCTTGGTCTCTCTCTCTCTCGGAGACGCCGACGGGGGGGGGGGGCTTCGAGGCTGGCAGCGGCTGTCAAGGAGTCCGCGGCGGCGGTGGCGGCAGGAGGAGAGAAAGGCGGAGGAAGTGGAAGCGGAGAAGCGCGGTCTACCAGCGGCTGCGACGGCCCAGGAGCCCAGCCATGGCGAGCAGAAGGGAGAGCCGTCGGGGGGCTGGCGGGACCCCGGGCACTGGAGCAGGTGCAGCGTCCGAGCGGGCTGGGGGGCAGCAGAAATCGCGCAGGCCTAGCGGAAGCCTGCGCGGCCGCGGCCGGGACCCCGCCAGTCAGCTCAAGGAGCCGGCCAGCGAGGGCAACGGGAGGAGCCGGGGCTTGGACGAGGCTGAGCTGGGCCACTTTCGCCGCGGAGAAATCAGGCAGGCGGCCGCGCGGCGACTTCTTCTTCTCCTTCGTCTCCTGCTGCTGCTGCAACTCTCGCTCGCTGACGCCTGGCTGGCAGGCGGCGGCGGCAGCAACAGCAACGCCGGCCGGGGTGAACCGAGGTTAACGCGCCGAGCTGAGCTCGCGAGCTGGCAAGGCAGGCGGACAGGCGAGAGCGAGCGAGCGAGGAGAGAACCCGCCGCGCTCCGCAGCTGGTCGGCCCTTCCGCCGGCGCTGGCTGCCCTCTGCGAGCAAGCAGGACCCTTTGGAGGCGGCCACGCTGGGCTGGGCTGGGCTGGGCTGGGCCGCCAGCCCTAGGCAGCATCACTGGTGGAGAGGCGTGATGAACGCTGGCCGCACACAAACATCGGGGCAGGATGGGGTGGGGTGAGGGTAGTTGCCATTGTAGCCACATATATCTGGAGAAGGCTGCATTGGGAAGGTTGACTTGTCCTTTCGGAAGAAAGAGTAGAAGAATCTTTAAAGCCCAGCCACTTCTCCTGCAAATCGGATATTCAGAAGCCCACGTAATCCGATACATTAAGGTGAGTCTCAAGAGATTTTGGACACACACATATATCAAGGTGGGACAGATATTTGGTGAAGTAAACACACCCTGAGAGAAGCATGCACGGCAAAAGTTGCCCAAGGAACTCTACTGCAAATTGAAATAAGAACATGAACGAACACAGGTTGATACCTGTAAACCTGTTGACCGATCAGGGACTGAATCCCAACAGTAGGTCAATGAGTTCCATAGCTGTGGGTTTGGGACAATCCATATTTTCCAAAATGACATGCGAGATAGTTATTATTGGCATTTCGAAAACTGACCTAACTCAATTGAAGCTTGAGTTGGCTCTGTCCAGGGAGAAAAGGCTTTGTAGTGTCTTAAAAATGAACAGATTTATTATAGAATAAATCTTTTTGTGGATGAGAGCCCACGTCATCAAATAAGTGTGATAGCTTGTGCCTCAGTTAAATGAGTTCCTCCTCAAGGAGCCACAAGGCTGTTGTGTTTGGTGCCCCAGAGGAAACCTCTAGTCGCTCTGAAACCTGTTATTATATTTCTTCTCTTGTGACTTTCCTACTTTACGTTGGGAAGGGGGCAAGCCCAACTTTACATGAGTTAGTTGTACCCTAAGTATGATTTAGGGTAGACTTTACTAAATTTCCTCTCCGAGCATTTATTAAAATTAAAATCATGGCAAAAGTATATGCAGTAGAAAGAGAGAACAGAAGGAAATATATGGAGACAAAAATAATATAGACAGAAAGACATACATACACACACACACACAGAGAGAGATGGGGATCCGCACCAGCTGCGCGGCTGGGAGCTGCCTGGCTCCAGCTGCGCCCTATCCAGGCGAGCGGCGCTGTGGCCACCCGCGGGGAAGGCCGGCCTTTGCGCCCGGGAGGGACAGCCTCACTGGCCGGCCAGGCGCCCCGTCGGCTTCCCTTCCTCCCTGCCGGCACACCGGTTGCCCGGGGAAAGGGCCCCGATCCTCGCTCACCCGGCGCCCACGTTTACCTTCCTAAGGCCGCTTTGGGGCTTTCTCTTTTTTCCCCGGGCGGGGAGGCAGCAGCGGGAGAAGGAGGGTCTCCAAGCGCGAATGCCCGGCCCGAGACCATTTCCCTTTCTCTCCTCTCTCCCTCTCTCGCTCTCAGGCCTTCCTTCCCGGCTGGCTATGCTCGCCCTCCGAGCTGGAGGTTCTCAGGCCGGCGCGTCTGCTTTGCAGGAAGGGACGACCCTCCACAACCCGGCCGCTTTACCACACACGGAGTAGGTTGTTTACCCTGAAAGACACCCGGGTGTGTTAAGTCCCCGCAGCCCTTGGGGAGGGAATCCAAGAAATCAAGGCTCCACTTCCCAGCGGAAACCACCCAGTCTCCTGCACTCCTAGAGAGCATCCTTCCAGGGCCTTGAGTGTAAGGATAAATCAGCCACTGAAAAGTTTCCTTTTGTCCATTTTTCTTCCCAGCCTCCTGCATTGCTAAGAGACAAGAAAGCAACCTTTGCAGTTCCAGCTGTTCTGCTTTCCATCCTCGCACACCGCCTCTCATAACCGTGGAGGTGGCTTTACCTAAGGCATGGTTTTCAACATCTTTGAAACCTTCCGACACCTTTGGACCAGGCCTTCGGATCACACACGCTGTTGCCGAACACCGATTGTTCCATAAAACAGTTTTCGGAGGTGCAACATTCTGGTTCACACGAATGCCTCAAACAATCACGCACGTCGAATCCCAATATTTTGACAACCTGTTTCGAGCGAGAATACCCTGGAAAAGTAAGACCACGATAGCAATGGAATCCTTTCATTTATTTGTACAACGAAGAGGGAGAATGAAAATGGGCTGTTTCCACTTGATTTGATGCGGCCCATGAGACGTGAAGGTTGCGGGCCTGGAGCCGGATTCAGGAGAGCTGGGTTCAAAACCCTGCTTGGTCGAGGGTGACCTTAACTGTCACCCTGTGAGCCTCAAGAGTTGTCCTAAAAGAGGAGGAGTAAAAACAAGGAGTGAGATCACTCAAGGAAAGATGGGAGGCAAACAGAAATTATTGTAGTGCTACTCGTCTAGCACTGCTAAAACATCCACTAAAACTGCACATCACCATCAGGATAAGGAAATCATTTTGGTTCTAAATCTAGACCAGAAAATCCAAATGGAGGTATAGTAGATCCATGTCATCACCAAAGTTCATATAATCACACCACACCTTTGCCCGGCATCTAGATAACGCTGGATGTTGCCAGAATTTGCCGTTGCGGAATTCACCACTGCCTGCAACACGCATCGACCGGCAATGGGTGGTGGTTAAAATACTCTGACCCTGAGCAATTTTCCCCTTGGGTTTTCTTGCACCCCCCCTTCCTTCTAGGTGGCCGGCACCTGTGGTTTCAATGAAAAGAAAGTAGGTGGGAAGCCCTTTGAACGGATGTTTCTTTTTAAACCCCACTTTTAAATCCTGGTGCTCTGCAGACAAGTTTCTCTCGCTGACTGTTTTTCCCTGAAAGGTCACGAGAGGGTGTTGTGATATAATGTTCCTCCACAAGTGTTCTGAGAAATTTTTCATCTGGGAGATGGTGGTGAACAGGGAGGGAGAGGAGGGGGAGTGTGTGCCGTGTGTGTGTGTGTGTGTGTGTGTGTGTGTGTGTGAGAGAGAGAGAGAAAGGAAGAGAGAGAGAGAGAGAGAGAGAGAGACAGAAGGAGTGAGTTGTAAATCTCTCCAGGATGAGAGAGAGAGTCAACTGTTCAAACTGTCTTGTTTTTTCATGGTGGGGAACACCAGGTCAGGAGTGTGGGCTTTGTCGATGCCTGAGAGAAGGGGGAAATTTTTTTGGCTGGGAAGCCAACTCAGCTTCAGCCTAAATTGTAGCTTCCTTCCTTCCTTCCTTCCTTCTATACTCCTTCTCAACTAGTGGCAGGGTCTGCAGTGCTGTAAGTTGCGACCCCTCATTGCAGCCCCCACCCCACCCTACCATATGCTATAGAGGTGGCCTGCACCCAAGGCTTGTTGTAACGCTGCTCCACCATCAATCATCAGCCACAACCAGGAATAACTACTCTGGCAGGTAATGTTGTCACTCAGCACAACAGGTACATGGGCTGTGTGTCTCAAGGGCTTGGGATAATCCTACAGGATTTCCATGGCCCCTCAGAGCTGGTGGGTCTCCAGGGCTCTCGGCACCACCCCCCCCCGGCTTCTCCTGCCCCACCTTGTGAGATCTGTGTTATCAATGTTATTTTTGTAATGTGACGCACTTGAGGCAACCAGAACAAGCAAGGCTTCTGTTTGTTGTGGTTGTGTGTGTGTGTGTGGGGGGATGGAGCTGGTCACGCATGCAGATGTGCCTCCATCCCAGATTGCCATTGGCTTCTGTCCCTCCCTTCCAGGGGGGGGGCATTTTAAAATAGCTTCTCAGCAGGAAGCGGGAAATGTATCTTTCAATTCAGTTTAGACCCGTTCTCTCTCTCTCTCTCCTCTTTTCCTCTCCTGTCTTTCTCTGTGCCTGCCACTTAGTCTTTCCACATTTTAGGCCACAGAGTCCTCAAGAAGATTTCTGGGTGTTTTTTTTTCTGGTCCCCTTAAGGTTTCCCCCCCCCCCTTCAAAGGTATGGTCCTTTTGCAGATCTGGGAAATGTATTGGTCCCTTCTCCTCCAGGGGGGGCAGGAGCCCTTCTCCTGTGATGGGAGGTTCCCAAAAATGGATATAGAGGATGGCAGTGATGGTGGAGAAAGACATCTTCTCACCTGGAGGGATGGTGCCTGTCTTCTGGGGATGTGGAAACTGAGACCCAAGTCGTATCCAGAGATATTGACAAATCTTTGGGTCCGAGTCCCAAGGGCGAGTCTTGGGTACCAAGTCCCATGTCTTAAGTCCCACGTCTCAGTTCCTATTAAATAGTAAGCTTTTTCCCCCAGAAAAAAAGGGAAGTGTGGGTGGGTTCCAAGTTAGTCATCGACTCTGAGTCATTGGTGGAAAAAAAAAACCCAAGTCACTTAAATCTGTCTCAACAGCGAGTCCCACTACTCGAGTCGCCATCCC